ATCCTCAGTCATGGTCTGCCTCCATGACGGTCGCCAATATTTTTGTCCGTTCCCGGGTTGAGGACATTGGAAAAATAATTGCGCCCGATGTAACGGATACATTACATCCACCAGCGCTGACCACGCATCTTCTTCGGACTGAGCCTCGTAGTACGCCGGTACCTGTGCTGGGTCCAGAAGGTATGTCAACGCCGCAATTCTATCCACGGGATTCGTCGACACTCGCTTCTGCATTGCTGATAGCATGCGCAAGTTCCCGATTATGTTCCGCGTTGGTTCACCCCACACCTCAGGCAACGACGAGAGGTCCATCTGAAAAGACCTTCGTACATTCTCTTCCATGATCTCGTCGTCACCAGTATCACCGCCAATGATCAGTGGATCCTTGTTGATCGGTCGACGGCTGAACTCCTGCAGTGTCCATGCGCGTCTGAACCAATACCGATCGCTCTCAAAGTCGTTCGCCTTTAAACTCAAAGGCCGCCCCAGACCACTAAAGTAGGTCACTACATGATCGGTCCATCGGTAAACGTAGCCAATGGTGGGTACATCAACCTTCCACTCCTCCGGGCGTAGATGCTCTACCTGCCCACCCACTTGTCTCAAACAGAGAACGTCTAGCCATGCATACTCTGCACCCAGGTTCAGCATCTCGATACGGATAAGGTCAAGGTTGGCGTCCTTCGGGATTGGCACGGGCCATTCACGTCCGTTGATAGGTGTTAGCACATCCACTCGATCCCCGTCTTCCATCCAAGCATGTGATATTCCAAGTGGGTATCGACGCACAACCCACCATGGCACCACCCGGTTGCTGTATAGATCCCAGATGCGCCGAGGAGGTACACGGCGGTTTACAATTCGTTGACCCACAAGTACATCTTTTCGCATGTCCCGGTCCAGCGCTTCACGAGTGCGTAGCTCGTCTGCAATGCCGGTCAAGTCATTGAACCAAACTGAGCGGAGATGACCATAGCAAGTGCCAAAGTCGTCATACTTGGTGATGCAGTCGGTAAGGAGAGATGATAAGGAAACGTTGTCTAGATTGTATGATGTTCCAAGTGTGAAATTGAGCATCGCTAGGAGTTTAGTAACACTGAGGTCAAGGCAGCACGTGTTGGCGAAAAATGAGGATATAACGGGATTTCTACTGGTGTAGGACCGTTGATTTGGAACTAGAATAGAAGATTCTGCGTGGCCGGTCTCTGTAAATGTGGAGAGGGTAACTTTGCGAAAGGTTTTATCCTTGAGAGGGTTCTGTGTTATCTGAAGAATGTTACTACTTTTAAATCTGTTCATGTTTTACATGCTTACCCAGTCAGACCGATAGTGAGCGAGATGCATATAACGTTGCCACCATTCACCTTCATCCATTTTGAGTCCGCTTGATGGTAGCGAAAGGAGAAACTGACAGAATATTACAACCTCCCAAGAATGCTGCTTAGAGTAGTAGCAAAAGCCGCAGTTGTGCTGTAGGAGTACGTTTTCTTCGTAGTCGGAAGCAAAGAAGATAGACGCTGAATCGGGCCGGAGCCATCAAGTATCACAGCCACCAGGAAGCCATCAGCACAATAGACGCCTGAGATTTTTGATACAGTCTACGTCGCTACGGTAGAGTTTTGATACTCAAAGTCAAAACTCCGTACCACCTTCCTAGATAAATGTGGGGACATTTAAACCACGGAGAGATAGAATATGCGGTGGCCACCTGCGAATGGAGATGTGAGCCACACGATCAGACCAAGGAATACGTGATATTGTTACCTATGCCTCACTAGGTTTCCTAAAAAAATCGTCGAAGCGGAAGAAGTTCAAAGGCAGATACAGTCTTGTTGGCCAACTTTCTGGCGTACGGTACATGAGAAGCTTCGGCAAGGTTGGCAACTTGGAGACAGACGTTGTGAGTCCATGGTAACGTTACTGAGAAAGAAAAAATATACCCTTCAGAACCACGCGCTTCATCGTTAGAGAATGGCAGAAAAATTATTGTTTGATGTACAACTACGAAGATTCCTGAAGATGAGACTCCATCGGCGTAGACTGAGGAGAGGCAAGCTAACCATTTTTGTGTCTGGAAAGATAAAGACGTCACATTATCAGTGTAAGATGGAAAATAATTGACAGATATGCATTCATACAGACCTTGACCTGACTGTAGGCTATTAGTTGCGGTGAACGATATTGTAATCCATCGGGATGTATCATGAATAACCGTCAGTCCAGTCCGAGGTTTGCCTTCGTGGGTGAATTGCCGCTCAGACCTATGTTCGCCGATTTCGCCACTTCAAATAAATGATAGACAGATCAATGACAGGATTCCGTTACGGCAACAACTGACCTGCGAATGAAAAATACCTCTTTCCCGACGTTAATATGCATTAATGACCAACCATAGCATGGCTACCGCAAAATACAGTATATGGCGAATATACGTGGGATGACGGTAAGCAGCCTCATTGTTACGTTCCAGTACAGCTTTAGTCGTACACCTCGACGACGTCCATAGCATGTCCTGCGAAATCCACAGAACTTGAACCTGAAGAGCTAGCTTGGTCTGTCAGATTGATTTCGGAGAATAAACCGCAGCAGTGGGAGAGGGTAGAGGGCTGAACTGCAGAGCTGCTGACGAGCATGTACTTTCTTGTGTGTACCGAAGAAGTCAGCTATTTATAAACCTTTCTCTACAAATTCGTAACACATCGTTATCATGCATTATCTCGGTGCACTTGGCCATGCAGAACAAGTCTTCATGTCGTCAGACTTCATTTCCTGAAATAGCTTGGGAGGAAGTCAGAAGATCCTTGGACGTTGGAGGGTGCATGAAAGTTGAGGTCGAGTGAAGGCAAGAAATACCGGCCCGGAAATCGCGTTGATGGCGTGGGAGCAGTCTTGTTTTTCCTTTCGCTCTCTTCGATCATCAACAAATTCTGTTGCACCGTCCTTCGGTACGCCATTCTAATTTGGCGCCCCCGCCAACCGTCACTAAAAAAGGTGAACCTTTGAAATGGCCCTGTTTCCCGTCTCTTATCATAGCTGTAGATGGCAGTCTCCGTTCAGTGCCTAACATGCGGCTCCAGGCAACAAGGCGAATCACCTTCATTCCCCGGCCCTGACCTGACAGAGTCACGATTTGATGAATTGCTGAAATCAAATAATCCACCTTTGCAAGCGGAGCATGTTCACCTAGAGGGCGTTATCGGCGATGGCCATGTTTTTTTGTCCGGTCTAAAGGAACGAATCACTCGAACACGTGCCATGCTCGAAGAATTGTTGGATGAAGAGAAGCGCGTTGAACGTCTGGTTGAATCTTGCAAGAAAATCATACGTCCGATTCGTAGCGTTCCAGAGGATATTGTTCGGGAGATTTTCTTGACGTGTTTGGACACTGATGAGGGAGAGATAAAGGACTCGTTGGATGGGAAATCTCCGCCGTTGGTGCTTTCGAAGGTCTACAGGAACTGGAGAAGCGTTGCGGTATCAACGTCCCAGCTCTGGTCGTCCGTTTCACTGCATTTTGACCAATACCGTGATGCAAAGGCGTGTCTGCATCTGCTCCAGATATACCTGCTGCGATCTGGGACACAGGATATCATTCTATCCTTACACAGTACAGAGCCGCTCTTAAATTACCATGTCATCCCCGTCCTCCTTTCCAGCGCCCCACGATGGGTGGATGTCCGCCTCTTCATTCCATTCCTATCACTACACGACTTCTCTGCTGTCAGAGGAACACTGTATCGCTTGAATCGTCTCTGTGTGGAGTTTACAGATGATCCACCGAGCTCACCTGGCCCGCAGGTCCTAGAGCCCACATTCGACGCCTTCGAGTATGCTCCGCTACTCCGTAGCTTCTCCCATGAGAGTGTATTCAACGCTGTTCATCAGATAAGCCTACCATGGTCGCAGATCATTGAATATACTGGAACGGATTGGACAAGCTCGTATATCGAGATGTTCAAGCTGACGCCTGATTTGGAGAGCGCATCTTTGTATTGCGAAGATGACTCAGTCTTTGATCGGCCGCTCCCTCCTCCGTTTTGCCATCACGCGCTTCGTCGTCTTCACGTTCATGAGGAGGAACAACCTGTTGATACGGGTGTTCAATCAGAAGGCGGTATCATCCTTCTCCTTTCGCATATCGAATGTCCTGCTCTAGAGTCCCTGAGTATGGTTTACAAACACCAGCAGATTCGGATCCCTAGTTCTCCTTGCGCTGGAAACTTGAGGATACTCTCCATCGATGCACCATGCGCTATTCCCGCTGAGGCCCAGAGTGATTTACTCAGTCTCCTCAGGACGACGCCTTTGCTCACCGATCTATCCATCTCCATCTCCATGTCGCCGGAAGAGAACGTGATTCTCCTTGGACTTAACATCAATATGAATCCTGGTGTTGTTCCTGGTCTTAGGTGGTTAACTTTCCGCTTTTTAAGCGAGGTTCCGGATCTGTCGAATATTTTCGTCGATTTGGCTGAGTCTAGGAGAACCGGATTAGAGACTCTTCGTTTATCCGTGCCATTTGTTATGCCCTCACCAGCTGATGCACTGGTTGACCGGTGGACAGAGCTAAGCAACGGAGGTTTAGTTATATATGGCATGGAATGACGGTATTTTATTTGTGAAACACCCAGATACTAGAAATCGCCTGTCATATTTACTTTGCAGTGCGCCACTGTTTTTGACTTTGAAATGTGATGTTACTTCAAATAGTTGTGCTGAACGTCTATGGCGGAGGAACCGTAAAAAGATTATATTTTCTGGCAATTCGTATCACAATGTGCTCGACGATATGTTCCTGTCAAGTACGAAAAAACAATGTAATGTGTGCTTGATTGTCATTTGCGATGATCTGCCTTTCTTCCAACTATCGATTATTGACCAAAAGAAGGTCTTGTGCACTTAGCGGCGAGCGCTACCCTTCCCGGAAATTCGACGCTGAAGAACATTGCAATTTGTACATAAAAAGCGAAGAAAATAATACTTTTTGTACGACAGAGATATAGCCCGGGGGGGTCGAACCCCCAGCCTTCAGATTACGCACTCCACCGCCTGGCATTGTAAGAGTCTGACGCTCTATCCGATTGAGCTAGGCGGGCTTAAATTTCAATTTCTGCAGACCTTTGTCAACCTTCTCTGCATAACACGTGTGTCACCTGATGATCACTCGTTAAATATTTACGCTCGATCGCATGCGATGTAGGGAGCAATCCACACTGGTCCGTCTCCCTAGGCTGAATGAGTTACCAGTGGTTTCCGATCTCGCACTCATTTCTGGGTCTGCTATCGCTATCTTTCCAGCGGCCATTCTCGTATTGCGATCCAGTCCTTTTACCATTTGTGCATAATAGACACATGATTGTAATGATACCTTGCTCTTCATCCTCATCCATTGACTCGCACTCTATGACATTCCGTTCGAGAAAAACGCTACTGTGCATTTGCCAAGTTCTTCTCATACTTCTCCGTCATTGCCTTCGAGCCCGTTTGTCATCCCTTGAAGATCTGTACCCTTCCAACTGTGATAATTTAATTTGAATAACACACCGTGATAGTATAGAATACAAGGGGCACTACTTTGATACTGTAAAGCTCGAAGGAGGATCAGCTATTGATGCTCGCCGAATGTTACGAAACCTTCATCGCACATCCCCTTCAATGCGACCACATCAGTATCACCCAGCAAAACGACAAAAGGTGTGTCCAAATGAAGTGTCCGCAATGCTACCCGTGAATGTGCGGCGTGCCTCCGAGATTGGGCCATATCCATGAATAATGGCGACAGACTGACCTGCAGATTTATGAATCGGAACGTCAGCGCCGACAGATTGGGAAGAACGTCGGGGTGGATATTGGCATTGAGTCCGAGAAACATTCCATCATTCTCGGCTCCTTCAGATGCAAAACGACAGGACATCGACAGGCTGGAAAGGGATAGTGTCGTTTGAAGAAGACTGAGCAGATTAGCCTGCGCTGAAGCATGGATGACGAACGGCGCATCAATGGAGAGAGACCTCAAACTGTTTGCCATCGATCCCCGTAAGGTACGAGGAACCCGAATGGAAGTATGCAGATACGACATACTCAGAGATTCCAAAGCCGGAAACTCTATATATGAAAGAAGACGAACTATCCCTCCTTCTGAAAGGATGCGTGAACTTGTGGGGTCTTCGGCTTCGTGCAAATGAAGGATACGAAGGCCCTGATGGGACAGCGACGGATGATCTTCGTGATCATACTCCGATTCACCGTCGCATTGCAACGAGGCACGTTCCATATCCGGCGTACGCTTGAATATAGCGATATAGGAGCTCATTCGATCGTCTCCAGTATATTCTTTGAGCTGAGACCACGGTAAGCTTATCTCTTGAACAGCCGCGCGCATGCACTGTAGGGTGAAGCTACGAAGCAGCGGGGCGTACCCGAAGGCGTTGAATGTGCACCTGGCCATATTCGCGCGTGCCCTGCGAACTGGGCCGATGACCTCTAGCGAAAGACGACTCAAGCGGTGGAAGGTTCCTCTCGCAGCGGAGAAAGTGTCTATGGAGTTCTGGGTAACGGACAGAGACAAATCGGTCCAACGAGGGGCACTCAAAATAAGGATTGGTATGAGATGGCTCATTGAAAGGTTGGCTGTTCTGTGTAAGGAAAGAGTGATATCGTGCATCTCAGATCGTAGAAGATACGTCTGAAGGAGATAGAGACACCCCATGTCGTTGCGATACAGGTCAAAATCCAGCCTAAAGGATGACCAGAGTCGACAGGTAGACAATGCAATAGTTCTCCACTCCCTACAAACCTGCGAAAGAACCAAAGGCGCAAATTTTCCATTCAACGAATCTTTTTGCTCCTCATCGGCGTCTAAGGATGCTACGAAGAATTCGCGAATGATGTCCTCTGGAAGGTCACGAACAGGGTGGAGTATTGTCTTGCATGAGTCAATCGTGTCTTGAATGTGCACCTCCTCTTCCAAAAGACCGTCCAGAACCGCCCCGCCCCTCAGCTATCTGGTCTTGCAGCTTGGCAAATACGCCGTAGCTGTGACTGATTGCGTTCTCCAGGTGAATACGTTCAGCTCGAAATGGCGGATCATTTGAATTTATTAGTTCATACAATCGCAAGGGTGTCAGGATGTTATAGTTGGGCGAAAGATGTGGTCGATTGTAGTTGCATCGCGGACAATAGGCGGAGAGTAACATCTACAATGAAGATAAGATATGAGAAATACTGTGTGAGCAGAGAGCGTTTACCTTGGCATTCAAACGAATGGTGTTTGTAGATGATGATTTGACGGAAGAGAGGATGGTTAGGGGTAAATCCACTCCTTTTGAACTTCTCACAAAGGCCGGTCGTCCAATGTTAAGACATCTTGAAACAGTGGGGCAGGCTCCCCAGTACTAAAACATGTGCCACATCACGTTGACAGTCTAGCACGAAAGAGCTTTTCTCGTGGCCGAGTGGAATTCCATTCGGAAGAGAGCACAGGAAGGCGATGAAAGGCCAAGAGGGTGAGAGTACAAGGCAAGGGTGACTCTAAATTGCATCCCGAAAGGTACCATGACAAGATTTACACTTGCCGAATTTGATGTACACGGAACGGCCTTAACCCTAAGAAAAGTAAGGTTAGGTTTACGTTCAGTATCTGGAGGGGGGACATACTATATATAAAGCAGCCCCATCCTTTCCCAGGTCCCCACATCTCTCTCTCAAACCACCATCATCGCCTGCTCTGACCGTTCCACACCACCCTCCTCTGACGTTCGCACCCATTGGAGCAAAGCAAAGCCTCTCTATACATCTGTACGCTTTTTCTTCTGCTATTTGTTCCACGACTAACAGCGGAGCCACGAAGAGGATGCATGTCCGACAAGAAAACGTGACAACAATGACAACGCGGCGGGATAGAGAGCTGGCAGAACTACACCCGCCATCGACGGCATTGTACACCCCGTCGAGGGCGTCTCTCGTCGTTCCCATCTATAGCGAAGTGCAGGTGACCACGATGGTCCCTGTTTGCCGCCGCTATGTATCCAGTCCCGACGCGTCATATACGGAATATGTACGGGAATACATCACGTCGTCCTCGCTGCATGCACCTGGTAAACCGTGCCAGAGCCGCATCCCGCTCCCGTCCCAGATAGAGAGCAGTAACCCGATAGTTGTACATCCACTGTTACAGCCACGCCGTGGAGAGATGATGATGAAGCTCGACTTTGCTCGCAGTCTGTCGAGCATACGCGTGCTTGGTCACGAGGGCTGCGTAAATGAGGCAGCGACCAAGCCACCTATTCCGTCACTGGCTATAGTCCACCAAAAGCTGCCATGGCCAATAGTCATTCAAAGGTCGGGCGATTGCGAGTGGGTCACGGTCGCTGACGTCGTTGAGACACTATGGCACGCTCTACGCATACATGACCCCATACCGTCCGCGTCGGTGTCGTCGTTCGGTGAAAATGAGAAGGGCGTATATCTAACAAGTCGAAGCATGTCGGGCAGGGTAGAGCGGGAGGTTGTTCACCAACCCAGATTGGCCTTTTTGAGAGGCAAGACAAGGTTCATGGGACTCCGCGCCATAGAAGGCGACAACTGGGAACTACTCATTGTGTAGGATGCGCAGGTCGCTCCTAATTCGCTGTCGGAATATTTATTTGATGTGACTGCAGACTGGACTATATGCACTACGATTATGTATCAGCTACGCTCGGTAGATAAAGATGAATGACTACCTCTGGAATAGCCGACATTGATGTGATGTTGTGTATAGGTGGAAGCGCATGATAGAGCAGTGGCCTTCGACGTCGGGAGCGACGCCTTGTTACCCTACGAAAGATAGGGTTAGGGTTATAAATCCAACTGTGCTCCGGTCGCTGAAGACCCTCGTGAATCGTCGTGAAGTTACACATCAATTCTATCCTAGCGAGTAAGTATGAGGGCCGTTCTTGAGAATCGACAACTCAGGCTCGCAGTAACAGCATCGTCCCAGTCATGAATACGGTTAGAACCAAGCTTGATAGAATACTAGGCTCGATCGGAATACTGCGCTGAAGATCTTTCCTCACCTGTAGAAAGTTGTTAGCTTATTAAGAATGAAAGACGGCTATTTGCTTACACAGTATCTGATGCAAGGGCTTCGCCTGCCATTGTAAACAGCCTACATCACAGAGAAAGCTGGTTTCCCAAATCGACAACAATCAAACCTCGGCTTCATGCAGGGCAACACGAACGTATAGAAATGTTTTGCGTAGCTCTCTTCTTGACCCACAAGTAATAGAAGCAGCGGCCGTAAGCCAAAAATTCTTCGAATGCGGTTCCGCAGTACAGCCCTTGGTCGGCTGATTGGAACTAGCGTTGCGACAATTTTGAAGATCGGGACGAAAGAACAAAAATAGGATGCTGACGAAGCAGTTGGAGAAAGACATGAAGGCGGCGGCACTAGAGACGGAAAGCAGAAAGGTGATCTGTTGCTCGACACTGAAGAGGGGATGTGCAAGGTGTTGAAAAGGCCTGATACTTGGAACATGCGTCGCAAGCGGTATGCCTCTGAGAACGTCTCAAAAGCGGGCGGAATTACGAAGTCGAGAGTAGGGGAGAACGAGGGTAAGGCTCTATCCGATGCCAATGAGACTAACCCTCCTCATTCGAGTCAATGTGGAAAAGATCCAACCCCCTGCCGGTGATTTATAGAGTTAAGTGGGACAGGTGCCTAACCCAACAGATTTTGATGGGCGACGGGACGGGTGCCGGGATAGAAAGGCGACGTGGAGGACACGGACTGAATGTCCCGAAACGAAAGACTGAATCGTATCAAGACTAGTTCCACGTAACGCTTTCCCACTCAGAAGGCACCATCAGATACACTGTACAAATGGGCATCTCAAAGCGCCAGATCGAGCAGACTACAAAACAACCACCATTAGCACTCGAATACTTCATAAAAATACCGACCACTCACTCTGTGCACCAGCGGCATGAATACAGTATCTCCCCACAGCATAGCCTCTGTGACTGCAGTCGCTACGGCTGTCACGACCACTTTCGTTGCTGACAGGAGAAATAGCCATCATCCACCAACGGCACTGAGTCGTCCCGAACGTGAACTT